CTCAACTTCAGCCTCAGTTTTGCAACTGAAGCAAGCTGCGCTGCTGGCTGCACAGAAGTACTTTAACGCAACTCCAGCAATATATGGCAACACGCACTAGGATAGGAAAGCAAAAAAAAAAAAAAAAAAATCATGTTTCACCCACATGGAGGCTGCTGTTGGAAGAAATTTATACCGTACTAGCTGAACAGTTCAGGGTTTAGCTACCTAATTATACAACACGTGAGTCATTCTTAAAGGGGGAGGGCTTCAAGAATACTTCTGCAATAAATGCTGTGGATTTCAAAGGAGTCCAGAAGTCAGAAGACTTGCATTATGTCCACTTTACGTGCCGCTGAGTCAAATCGGACTGATGTAGCCTGAGACCATCAGAGGCAGAGCCAAGTTTTCCAAATTCCTGGGTACAGGTGCGGAACACAGCCTCCTCTTTTCTTCCTGTTACATATCGATATACAAAGCCAGACACTTCAGAAACATCTACAGTGCGTGCGATTAACCCGCACGGCATTCTACAGTGGATTAGTGGAAAACTACAGCATAGGTGTCTCCACCTGAATTAAACTCAACTGCAGACGAGACTTAAAAGCAGAAGGATTTTACCCTAAAGGAGATAGCTGCATCTAGTGAGATGAGACAGCGCTCCTTTTCAGTGTGATTCAACTGAAAAGAGAAGCCTCACGTGACTGGTGCAGACAGACATCTGCATAGATGTAGGGGAGAACAAAATCTCATTCCTGGTATCTCCCTTTACTTATTACTGCATAGAAATAGGTGCTGCTGTTTAAACACCTATTAATGTGTAAGCTTTACTCTTGCCTTAAACTGCTTTTATCTGCCACTTTGTGTTCCTTCTGGCCAAACCAGTTCGCTCCTCTTTCCCCACTAACCATGCCGGGCCAATATTTAGCAGCAATCCATGCAAGAAACAGGACATTTCACAGTGTGCCCTAGGTCAAAGGCTCAGGCTCGTTCATAGCATGAGTGCGTTTTCGGGCTCTTACGTAACCTCCCTTTGGCAAGCAGAGCAACTGCAGGCACCGCGGTAATGTCAGTTCGCAGATGCTCACGAAATTTAGCAGCTGGAAGCAAGCGCTAGCTTTCCTACAAAGTCCTCACCACACTACAAAGTTCTCCTCAGGTCTACGGTTTATATTACTTTACGCCTACCTGACAGCGCAATTTCCAGTGCTGGAAATACTTTGTTGCCCAGAATACGCTATTTAATTTATTTTTATCCAGAGGAATAACATTTGCAAGCCCTACCTCACAGCGTAGCTTTACTCAGCTTTTTGCAGTTCCATTTCCTCGACGTCTTTCCTATCCCATCCAAAAATGGGACGTTCTCTTACAGACAACCTGGGGTGGACATTTGTTATCCCCTGTAACACCTGACTCTACAACTAATGGGGAACTGAACTATGAGCAAGAAAAAATGCTAGCAGTTAATTCAAATGCACAGCCGATCTGCCCCATTTCAATTACGCAATCTGTGTCAGTGGGGAAGCACAAATAGGATTACTTTTCCATCTGACCGATTTAGGCAGCTGGTGAGAACAGCATTCATGCCATCAGCCAGACTGCATTGTCTGGAACAAATCCAATGGTCATACTGCAATAGGCTGTTATTAGAAACCTTAATCCTCGCTCACATGCTTACGGGGAAGCTGACCTCGGCGGCTACCTGCACAGTTCTCCCGAGCGCTCCAGACGTACAGATGTTATTCAAGCACTTCCTACTTATCTCAGCTCCGTTGGCTCACTTGTGCTCCAAGACACACAGGCTACTCGCATCCAGCAAAAGCTTCAGAGGCAGATGCTGAACTCGGCAATTTCTCTGTCCGTTCCAGGCCCTGAATGCGGCAGCTTTCTATGCTGGCGGAGCTTTATCTATTCTTCTGCCCCAAATGATGGGATTTCCCTCTCCTTTCTAGGATGGCTACGCGACAGCAATCAGCCTTGCTGCTAGGAACACCAAGAAAATATTTGCTCAAGCTTATTCTGTTGCCCCCACTATTGGAGAGCATCATATTTTGTATATTTTTTTCCTACTTCTAGGCTCCATAATTCAAAGGAAAAAGGATAACATTAAAGTGAAATCAGAAGTTGCATATCAAATATAACCAGACCTTAAATATCCACAGACACATGCTTTTTGCACCACAAAAAAAACCCTGTGTGCTTAACACTGAACAAGAACATCCTTGCCACCAAGAGCTTACAGTCTACACGGTAAAGCTTTTGCCGCATTTGAAAGACCGAATAGTTCATCAGCTTTTATCGAGCTAGCAAAATTATACTGAACAATGTATTAAGTAGCAAAAGACAGAAGTTGGGTTTTTTTTTTTAAATAAAAAAGTGTTAGATAGTCAATCCACAGAAACATCAATTTACTGTAGATAAGCTAGCTCATTAGCTGTTACACTTCAAAAAAAAAAAAAAAGAGAGAGTACTAGATAATTAGGGTGATGGCTCATAACTGAGATCTTTCCTCCTCAAGGCTCTTCTGCAATTCCTACCCATCCTTCTCACCCAGGCAGGATCGGAGGCTGCTCACAGTTACTGCTTTTCTTCTTCCGGAGACTCCCGTTTGAGCCAAGCAGAAGCATTCCAAAAAAGTAGCTCCCATTTGGTTCAGCCTCACAGTTTTAAGGCAGTTTTTGAGCCATGCCACAGAAAATTCTCAGTGAATATTTTATCAGCTTTTTTCCTGGCTCAGCGCAGTTACATATTTTAGTTTACAACTAAAACAGATCCACTTTGCACCCACATTTAGTTACCAAGGTAATTCTCTGGACAGGATCCATTTCTGCTGAAAATGAATGATCTCAGAAACTGAAAACATTTGTGAAGAGTGATTGTGCTAGAGCCTGTATACTGAATTATTCACCTCAATGTATCAAATGCAAAACTAGACTTTAGGGATGAAGATCCAGTGCATTCAAGTCTTCAGCTGCCTCCATCCAGTGGGATGAGTTGAGACGTCCTCAGCACCACCGAATGATGGTTGGACTGATTCAGCCTGAGACTTCCTCCATCAACAACCCCAGAATCAAACATGTGAATTTTAAAGAAAAATCTACCACCACCACTACTCTACCACGCACCTCCAGCTGCCCAAACCATGACATCAAGTTCACCACCTGCCCAACTTGATGCCACCTAGAAGTTGGGCACCCTGCAGCCTCACGTGGAAGCACACACCCCAGAACTGCTTCAAACCACTGGCTCCCACTACTGCCGAACAACCATGCCAAAGGATAGGAGTTTGTACATCAAAATGTATCACTGGCCGACCCACGAGAAAGGGTCAAGTTAGTTGGCTGCAGGTTATCTTGACAGTTAACATGTCTGGAAGACAGGTCTGGACATTCCCCCAAAAGCTTATTTCAAGACAAACAGTGGCGCCCAATTCAGCCTTTCCACGTGCATCTTTTCCTCAAACTCAGTTCCATCAACCTCTAGAGCACCAGACACCAAGACGGATGGAGAAGACTGCAGCAGGATCGAAGCATTGGTGATGATACAACTCTGAAAAGTGACAGCTTTTAATCCATTTTGCTCTCTAACTACAGCGCCAAATTTGTTAAGCATCTTACAGCTATGACTCAAGTGTTAGGCTATTTCAACCCTTAGAGAAAAGCATGCTGTTGAAAGCAAGAAAGATTTGGTGCCCACTCTCTACGCCAGCTAAATACTTACGAGAGCTTCTTTTTCCATTTTCGTGCAGAGATGAAGGGTTCCCCCCCCCCCCCCACCCTTTTTTTTTCGCCTCTTGCTGTCCACTAAGCAAAAAAACCTCCAAGGATAGGCTTTTCCTAGAAAGGCTGCCACGTGTATTTAAAATACAGAGTTCTCCCACAAGAGATTTCAGAAAACCAATCACCATAACAATGTTTGGGCTAGGTCTGTAACCATAAAAGTCTTTCAATAAGTATATTGCTCCTACTCCAGCCTTGCCAAAACATTCAGGTGTCGCAAAGCCAGCTAAGTACTTTCAGAGCCAAAGCCAGGAAAGAACACCACCTGTATATGTGGGCATTTTAGGGCAAGCTACCAGAACCAAAACATCTTTCAGAGTTCTCTATGTAAAGAGATCAGAAAGCATTACTCCTGTCCTATTTTCCTGAGCTCCACCAGATCAGGATACAAACCCTCAAGAGAGGGCAGGTCAGCACAGCACTGTCAGATGGACATCTGAGATGGAACCAGCAGACTACCAAAACCCTCAGAGGGGCCCTTTCAAACTCAATGGCAGTCCTAAGACCACCCAGACTTGCTCAAAGCATTGCCAGAGAGGTATGGAAAACACGTAAATATAGCTGTATATATACATGAAGTAAAGCAAATTAGTTTCAGGTAAACTCTTGCCAGACGTTCTTAAACATCAGAGAAATAGGCCAAGATATAGACAGTTCAGAAATGTGACTTTTGCAGTCATTCAGAAGCATCTCACATGGCTCTCACCTCGGCTACTGTTTCTTCTGTGGGCTTACTTTCCCTGTTGGAACCAGCTCTCTTTGGCAAGACAGGCTTAAGTTTTGCATCTAATAAACCACTGGGACAGTAAAGTTGGATGCAATGTCAGCGTGGCTCCTGCTCCAAGTTGGACACCAATTTCCCGCAATGGGCTGAAGTTTCAGGAGCCACATTCATGCAATCTAGTCTCTACTGAGTCACGCCTGCACACACCTATCAGCAAGTCTAGCAAGCACTTCCAGCACGGGTACACGGTAGCTTCAGCCTGTATAAGATTTACTCAACCTAGAAAAGCTCTCAAGAAGAGAGGGCAAACAGCACTGCTTATGCATAGCCGCAATTTTAGCCACCTTGCTTTATCGCTGCCATCAGTATCGTTTTTTTCTCGTCACTCCCCCCAGAAGAGACTGCCTTACTGGTAACAGACAGTGCTGTATGCCCTCAAACGCAGGAGAAACCGCACCTCGCCACCCCATACATAATGCACTTATCTACACAGTACTAAAGCTTGCTATGATAGTTACCTTAAATCAGAGTCGACTCTTTGAGGTGTTCTGTACGCCTTCACCAGCTGAACCCTCTGACCTTCATTTTCGAAGCTACTATTGAAAGAAATATCTGTAAGGAAAAGAAATGCACGTTACATAAGAATCACATCCAAAAAAAATCCCACCAAGACTAAGTTGCTCTTTTCAGGCTTTTCGAATTTCCTCCTTTCACTTTTGTTTTCTAGATTTTGTTTAAAGAAACAAAGTGCGCACTGCGAGTCAGATCGGCCTCTGCCGTTCATTTGCGACAACGTGGAAAACAGGAACCTATGATGAAAGACATCGCAACACAAATCTGGACAGGTTGAGAAATCCCACAGCCTCCATTTTGCAAGCCAACCACCGGCACCCTCATTCAAAGCCTTCACCCTCGGAAGTTTAAATATACTGAGAAGTGGAATCACGCTTGAGTTAACCGATCCAAGACTCCTCTTTCTCTGTACTCCAACTAGCCCAGATCAATCACGTTAAGCTTTCCCAAAACAAAAAAGACTAACCTGCAACTGAGCTAGGCCTCACTCAAGGGAGGGGATTCACCTGATCAGCATCTCCAACCTCACTGATAAATAAAGCAGCAGACATCAAGGCACCTCCAGAGGGTGACTCATTTGACCTGTCCGCAACTGTAAAAGTTTAAGCCAGTTAGGAGACTAGGGCTTAACTGAGCACTCTGGATTGCTGCCCAACTTCAGACATTTCAACGCTAAAGCCTGGGCTAACAGCTTGCAAGAAGCCTAAAACTAATCCGCAGCCCCAACACGGGAACAGCAACAGTTCCAACATGCAATCACACTTCTTGATCTTTTCTTAGAAGTTACCTAAAAAAAGCACAAACAGAATTAAGTTCTATTGTGAAGACAATCTCTGGTAAGATGAGAGTTTACGGGGTGAAAAAGGTTCTCATTACCATCGCTTCCACGTGTGAAATTCTCAGAAGGTGACAAGAGTGAAGTATTAGCTAAGGCCACTTTGTGGCTCTTGTGAAAGACACACACAGTCCAGTCACATACTTTCCTTGCCTCCAATCATCTTTCCTGCAGACAGCAGTGGCCCCCAGGTTTGCCCAATTCAGAAGCCCAAAGCAATGGCTCAGCAGTCTGCTCAAGGTACCCAAGAGCATCTTCCAACCTGTCTCCAGACTTAGTAGCACAGCAAGGCTTAGAAGAGCGTTCTGCAACACATCAGCCAGCCAAGCATCCTCCACATACCACATCCAGGATCAGCTTGCTTTACACTCGAGATAATAAACATATTATGCTTATTTCTTCATTGCTTACCAACGAGAAAAATCTTAGTTTTACTTTACCATGAAGTATATGGGAGATGCAACCCCTTTTTTCCCTCCTGAAGGGAATTTACCACACGCTAACACATACAAAAGCAAGTGCCTGGCTAAAGGAATGACCCGCTTAACAGCGCTGGCTAATTTTAAGCTTACCACCTAGTAAGCAGGTGCGGAAAACTAACTGCCTTATACGCACCTTAGTCACACAAAAGCAAGCCTCGCCTTTCCCCAGCAATAAATAATTCCGGTTGAAAAGGAACGTCTGGAGGTCTCCAGTCTAACCTTGTGCTCAAAGCAGGACTAGCTTCAGAGTCAGAACGGGTTGCTTAGGGCCTCGTCACAACGCAGCAATTACCGTCAGGTTTTAATTGACATTTTAATGATGACCGAGTGCAGGTTCCCAAAAGGTTAAGCTGGTCTAAGCTGGCGGTACTGGGTTAGTTTCCTAAACTGGGCCACCTGGGTAAGACGGACATCAAACCATGCAATGACAACAGCAGAACAGCAGCAGGAACAACAAGCACAGTGAAACTGCGCCCAAATATATTAAGGGAAACGCTAACTAGGGCTCGCTAAATACCCAACTTTATTGCTTTTCAGAGACTGAACCTGGCAGTCACCTGTAGGGAGATAAAGTCCCTGAAAGTTTAAAACATCTGTGTTACATGTCTCTGCCTATGCTTACTGTCACTCATGGTCCATTCCAGCCACTTTTGGTTCCTCTACTGAGGATAAATCTTGAGGGGAAAAAAAACAAAAAAAACCCACCATACACCCAAAAAACTCATCTGTCAGCGTTAACGTTTCACAAGCATCTCCATTAACATACCTGCTCTATAAATGCTGCAAATATGATGATATCACTAATCACATTTCACTTAACTGATAACGTAAAACACGGATTTAACCTCATGAGGTTTTCGCAAAAGCAGTTCTGCTGACTCAAATTAGCAACTGCTATAACCTCTAATAGATGCAGGAAGAGCTTTTTTTCATCTCTTTGGTCCCTAAAGACCAAACTGTGCAGTAACTGCCTGCTTAGAGGAAGAAGCCATTAAAATGCATTCCTTTAAGAGCCACTGAACATGCAGGAGGTAGATTATGTTCCCTAGCAGGGACAGATTATTAACTCCAGACACGAGACAAAACACCCACCTAGAAGCAAACATAGGGAAAACGCCCAGTATCCTAGGAAGGTTCTGCAATTACAAAAAACAAACTAGAAATCTGTGATTTAGAAGGCCCCTTATCACCTTGTGCCATCTTTTTGTCAGGAAAAATCAGAACGAGCAGGTACTGTTCACAGGCTGACAATCACTAAGTACAGGGGAAAACGTCCCAGCCGTGATTAATGCGCGCCTACAAGTCAGGACTCGAACAAGCGTGTAGGGCGTGAGGGTTGTCACAAAATAAAGAGAAACAAAACAAGCCATAAAATATTTTAAGAAAGGCTAAGACCAAGAAAACATACTGCAGTACCAGCGAACAACTCACGCAACATCTGAAAAGAAAGGACAGAGGGTTGCATTAGAGCTACAATAACCAGCTTATAAATAAAGGACTAGAAATAAAGGAATTATATCTACCACCCAAAAGAAAGCTACACAGATTAACTTTGCCAGTAAAACTATGCTTAAGAGCTTCCCTCCTGAACTGACCTTAAGAGTAGACATTTCTAGTTTAGCATTCATATGGATCAGTCTTATGACACAGTGAAACTTTAACCACTACAGGGGAAAACTGAAAAGCTTGGTAACAGCTAGAAGAAATACATTCACTCCGATTTAACTGGACTGTCTGAGACAAAAATTAGAATCTTAACAGGCACTTTCATGAAAAACAGTGACTTCTAACTTCTGATGCTACTGGAGGTATCGACCCTTGAAAAGCAAACCCAGAGAAAAACCTGCACAAAGTGCCTTTCCAATAGGAAAGGCAAAGGTTCACGAAGTGGAAGAGAACGAAGGATGCGATGAAGAACGACGGGAGGTAATCTAAACACTTTTGAAAGATGCAGTTAAAAGGAAAAGGTTGACATTTTCCTCTCATTGCTGCTTAACTATAAACCAGTTTTCTCCCAAACTCCCCTCTTTAAAGCAGATATCATCTTTTGGATACTGAAGAGCTGAATTCAGGGTGCCACGCAAGCCTCCTGCACCGAAAGGGTCAGTCATTCGCTCTTCAGAGACACGCGTTTGTGTACTATATGTCACCAATGCATTTTCCTGCTGAAACGCACCAGATGGTAGCATATTTTGAAGAATTCAATAGCAACCCATATAGGAAAGCAGAGTCACTCCCTACCTACTACATCTACATAAATAGTGTTTTCGGGTTCTTTAGCGTTTAAGTTCCTAAGGAAACCAGGTTTCTGCAATCACGCTTCCTATCTGTCCCCATATCCCCTGCTGCTTTTCTGTGGCTGGGATTTCGCAATACCTTTAAGCCGACTGAATGAAGCATGGCAGCCCACACTCAGCTCAGCCTAAGCCAACACCGAACACCACCCTTCGCTTTCAAAGCGGCTGAAAATTGTGATAGTGCCCATTTTTCAGACTTCAGAGAAATACGTGCCAACGTTTGCTAAGTGGAGACAAGGACATCCATCCTCAATGCACCTCAGACTTGGGTTGCAGTTTCTCTCCTCGCCCAACTACTCAACCTACAGCATGACACACTGAGTCCTCTAATCTCTGCAAGAATAAAGACTGACATCGTATGTCAAAGTTAAGGACATTCTTGACACTCTTAAATATAGAGGAAAAAATCCAAAGGCATTTAATCCCCATGATCAATCAACATATACAGGACTCTATAGCCTACATGTGTACGTAAGCCTGACAAGGTTAACCGTAATCTTCAGAGCGTAACAGCTTTACTAAACAAGAAATGCTTGTACTAATATTTCAAGCTCTTACATGCTGCACTAAAATTCACCACTCAGTGTTGCGGCCCCTTGTAAGCTTCCTCCCAAATTTTCCAGCAATGCACTTGCAGCTGTAGTAACAACTAGGAACCTGCTAACGTTGGCTATTTGCAGTTGGCATCTCAACGTTTCCGACGCTGAGCTTTAGAGATCAGCGGTCACTAGCACAGCAGATGCAGACAACGCAGAGTTGGTGGAGCTCGGCCTGATTTGCTTTGCTTAGATGCCACCCCTCACCTGCAAACTGCTACTACAGGTTTAACTACTGCATCCATCCAGGTACGAGGGGGGGGGGTGGGGGAAGCGCAGCTTCAAATTCTCATGGGAAAGCAAAATCTCTGCAGATACACCAGTCAGATTAATATGATCTCGAAAAAGGAAGCTTTAGCGAGCCGAGGCTCACTGATCCCTTTGCTTTAGGATCTGCAGAGCCCAGCAGCCAAGACAAGGTCACATAGCTTAGGTCTTCTCCGTTTCGTTCTTAAGCTCTCATTTCCATCCTTAGCGCATGCCGCACACCGCCAATTCCATGGCGCTACGAATGGAGTCCTGCCTGGGCTCGCTTTGCCTTTTACCACTTGGGTCAGCTTTTGAGGTTCCCCGTTCAGACGTTGCTGCATTTTTTTTTATTTTTTTTACTTAGCTTCCAGAGCTGTACGCCATGTCCTACGCAGCTAAATTGTGGAATAAGGAAGATTTCTGCCTTCAGGAAAATTATTAGAGCAGCAGACCCTCAAACAAGACAGTATCTTACAGCCAGCATATCATCCCCAGCAAGGAGACTCTTGACCTCTCTCTCCTTTTTCAAGCCTCTTCTACCTTTAAATGGCAGAACAAACGTCGTCTGAGAAGAGGCCAC